CAACCTCCAAGGTGAGCAAGCGAATCGGCTGGCTCAATATGAAGTTGAGAGTGCGACAGTGTCTATTAGGGCCCGACCGGCTTGCTGGACCCAGCACGGAGGATTGCCTGGATGGCGTAGATGATCTTACACGCCAGGCAGGGGCGGAGCGCGCGCAGCCAGGACCGACGGTCAGGTCGCAGCGCACGAGCGGTCCTCTGCGCCGGGGAGGAGGGGGCCGGGGGGTAGCATTGCTGGCTTTTGATGGCGCAGCTAATAAAAATCATCGACGTCGGCGCCCCCGTCGGGTCGTCGTACGCGCTGTACTCGTCATCGGTCGGCTCCATGGTTGCGGTTGTGCCACGAAATGCACCGTTCAATTCGGCATACGCGACAAAAATGCCGAATGTAATAGGCCGTGCCGCTTTGGCGATGGACGCAGTCGATTGGCTATTTGTTTTAGATTTTGGACCAATCCCACGCAATTGTAAACCGCCCACCACGACCGCCGAGCCGCATCGTGCGCCGAATCGAGTGGGAAAATGAAATCGCTCCAGCTTGGCAGCATGATAGAGGACACTTTGGGGGTCATGAAATGCTACTCCATGTCAGCGTGCGAGGCATGCAGTGACAATTATGCGTTGTCAAAGATGGATTGCGGCATATGCCACGAATAACAGCACGATGCCACATTTAGAGACGGCGATTTTGAAGGCGTTTTCACAAATGCAAAGAGAGAATGGTTTCTCCCTAGGGATAGTTGGTTCAGCTCCCATTTTCTACACTCGGTATACAAGAAACAAGTACACGTACAAAGGGTTGCTCGATCGATTCTACACTCGATAGTAGCTTTTACGCGCCGCAACGAGCAGTCGCAAAGTCTTCATTTTCCATTTTGCAGCCGATCGACCACAACCATCACCGCTCCCTTCAGCCACGCTCCGACGACCGCCCTGCCCGCGTCCACGCCCACGCACCGCCAACGACAACGACGCCACCATCCAATAGTATACCAAGAAACAACAGTAGGTAGCTTGACGCCTCGACCGCCGCACAGGCCACTCCACAGGTGGTTCTGGACGAACCCGTCCAGTGGTTGGCTCGCCAAGCGCTTGCGGTGATGAGCGAAGCGACTGCAACGGATGAAATCATACGTGCAGTCGAACGCGCTTTGCTGCGAGCGCGACGGCGGTCGACGTCGTGACGATAGCCGCGGCCAAAAGGACAGACGCGTGGCTAAGAGCTGCCTTTGTGACTGTCCACGCTGCCATAAACTCAACCATTTCAATAGAAGTCTCTCGTTATATGCATTTCGCAAGCGAGGACAAGCAGCGGTGATCGACTTGGAAGGCGTGTCCATGTCGGTTCTCCTCACAGCTGGATCACCGAGACCCTGTAGAAACTCCCGGACAAAAGATCGACTGCCCGTTAAATAGCCTTCAAGATACTGCATCTCACGCTGCATCGGGACACAGGAGGACGTCGACGAACGCGCGGTGGCTCCCGAGCAAAAGCATGTGCTGGATCGAGCAAAAGCCTTGGGCGTTCAAGCGCAAGAACGACTCGGACGCGACTGGGAGGACTTGGAGACCGGCTTGCAGCAGCGTCCATTGGAAGCTCGCGGCGATCGTGGCTTCGACCTGCACCTGCACGATGGCCGTCGAGTCCTTGTGCAGCTCCATCTCGCAGCTGCTCGTCGGCGTATGTGCCTGCATGCGAAAGCACATGGCGTCGTCGCTGCTGGAGGCAAAGGATGTCGGGTGCAAGACGAGCTCGACGGCGGCGCCCGTCGGCAGCTCATGGAACTCGCTGCACGCGTCGTGGAGCGCGTTGGACGCGAGGATCATGTGCCCGAGGACCTTGGCACCCTCGAAGCTGCGCTCGAAGACGCCGAGGCTGCAGTCGTTGTGCTCGTCGTCGACCATCGTCTTGATCGAGCACTCGGCGAGGACGCCATCGTCCGTCAATACCATCGAAAAGACGCCTTCCTACAGAGCCCAGGTCGAGTCCGTGTCGGAAGGGAGGCGACCGACCTGCGCCGAGTAGCTGCACGTGACGGCCGTCGACGCCATGGCCGACGTGCCAAAGACGCCAAGCCCGTCCAAGATGTGGTTGACGCAGATGCGGAAGCTCGTGGCCTCGGCCTCAAAGTACTGGAAGGTCTCGAAAAGGTCGCTGACCATGCTCGTCTTAATCTACGTTGCACCATGACCACGCGCGTCCCGCATACGACGCCACGCACCTGGAGCGACTTGCCCTTGGAGTGCGCAGTAAAGTAGAGTCCTATACAGCGGCCATGGCATGAGGCGGGAAGCGCTGCGCATGCCACGGACCCGACGCGTCGATGTCGCAGCGCACGAGCTGGTCCTTCTTGCGCCCGAGGAGGAGCGAGGCCAAGAGCGTGTGCATGTGCTTGGCGTTCTCGATGGCGCAGCTCATCGTCGTCATCGACGTCGGCGCCCCCGTCGGGTCGTCGTACGCGCTGTAAAAGTCATCGGTCGGCTCCATGGTTGCGGTCGTGCCACGAAATGCACCGTTCAATTCGGCATACGCAACAACAATGCCGAATGTAATCGGCCGTGCCGCTTTGGCGATGGACGCAGTCGATTGGCTATTTCTTTAAGATTTTAGACCAATCCCACGCGATTGTAAGCCGCCCACCACGACCGCCGAGCCGCGTCGTGCGCCGAATCGAGTGGGAAAATGAAATCGCTGCAGCTCGGCAGAGTGATAGAGGACACTTTGGGGGTCATGAAATGCTACTCCACGTCAGCATGCCAGGCATGCAGTGACAATTATGTGTTGTCAAAGATGGATTGCGGCACATGCCACGAATAACAACACGATGCCACATTTAGCGACGATTTTGTAGACGTTTTCACAATGCAAAGAGAATGGTTTCTCCCCTGGTTTCTCCCTAGGGATAGTTGGTTCAGCTCCCATTTTCAACACTCGATATACAAGAAACAAGTATAATACACGTAAAAAAGTTCTCGATGGATTCTACACTCGAGCCTTTACGCGCCGCAACGAGCAGTCGCAAAGTCTTCATTTTCCATTTTGCAGCCGATCGACCACAACCATCCCCGCTCCCTGCAGCTGCGCTCCGACGACCGCCCTACCCGCGCCCACGCCCATGCACACTCCTCCAACGACAACGACGCCACCATCCAATAGTATACCAAGAAACAACCGTACTAGTATGTAGCTCGACGCCTCGACCGCCGCACAGACCACTCCACAGGTGGTTCTGGACGAACCCGTCCAGTGTTTGGCTCGCCAAGCGCTTGCGGCGATGAGCGAAGCGACTGCAACGGATGAAATCATACGTGCAGTCGAACGCGCTTTGCTGCGGGCGCGACGGCGGTCGACGTCGTGACGATAGCCGCGGCCAAAAGGACGGACGTCTGGCCTATAGCTGCCTTTTTAAAAGTCCACGCTACCATACACTCAACCATTTCAATATAAGTCTCTCGTCAGATGCATTTCGCAAGCGAGGACTAGGGTTGCATTTGATATTAGTAGGTTTACGGTGCATTGACGGCATTGAGAGAAGGGTTAGGGCGCGACCTCGGTCTTGACGA